AAAAATGGATGAATCTATATTAAAATAAACGCACCAATAATCTCAAAAGGAATTGGGACAAGTGGTCAAAGAGCTATCATTTCTTTTAAAAAAGGCTCCTAAATGATTTCTATATAATCTTCAAATTATGTCTCCCTCATTAAAAAAAAAGTCCTTTTTAAATTCTGACTAAATGTATTACATTTGTTATATTAATTTGAAAAGATCAATATTTTTATAACATTAAATTTTCCCATTTGGCAACACTAAAATTTAGATTACAAGAAGTACTACTTACAATTCCATCTTAATAAATTCATGTAACTTATAATTAACTACTTTATCACTGAGTTAAATTATTCCAAAAACCCTCTAATTGTTCTTCCTGACTGCAAAATCCAATCTGTACCCCCAAATTCATCTTTCATAAAGCTGGCACAGTAATATTAATAAAAAATACCAAATGGATCATTCTTAATATTCTTCAATAAATCCCCATTTCTTACTCAGAATACAAACTATTAATGCCATCCATACTTGGCCTCTCTCAGAATTCCTACTACTCTTCTCCTTAATCCAAAAATCCTATCATACTCAAGCACTTGAATTTCTCTGAATAGCCTCTGTTCCCTCGGGTCTTTGTCTTTATACATATTATTTCTAAATAGAAATCCTTCCTGTTTTCTAACACCATATTCTCAATTGCTATGTCATAATTCCCTTTTTATATTGCATTTATTATGTTGGAATTAGGGATATTATGTATCAACTATGTGTTAACATATTCAGCTTTGAAATTAATATAGTCAATTATATCTCATTTTTTAAAATAAATTCTTTAGAAGCCTTAGATTAAAAAATTCAGTATTTTTATCAAGTCTGCACCTTCTATATTACATTATATTATGATATATGCAACAAATTTATTCAATTTATTCACATACATATAGAATGCAATTATAGTTACTGTTTATATATTTAATATCCTTAATACTTAAAGAGTAAGTACTTTTAACAGAGAGTTCTTGGCACTATGCATAGAAAAGACAAGTTAAGTTTCTATAAACTTTAAAAATTGATGATCCTTGAAAAGAAACAATAAATGGGGAGATCACATTTGCAAGTACGCTCTTAGTCATTTTAGCCCACCAAAAAATAGAGAGGATCCTGGGCTATCCAGTCCAACCAGGGTATATCTTATAACTCTTCAAATCTGGTCAAGTTATTTAATATCTCTGAGTTTCCTCTTCTAAAAATGGAATACAGTAGTCTCCCCTTATCCATGGTTTTGCTTTCTGCAGTTTCAATTACCTATGCTCAACCCCAGTCTGAAAGCAGTTGACTATAGTCAGAGATCAATAGTAGCTTAATGCTATGGCACAATGCCTATGTAATTTCACCTCACTTTATCTCATCATGTATACATTTTATCATCTCATGTCATCACAAGGAGGAATACTGTACAATGAGATTTTGAGAGAAATCACATTCATATAATTTTTATTGCAGTATATTGTTATAATTTTTCTATTTTTATTATTGTTGTTAATCTCTTACTATGTCTAATTAATAAATTAAATTCTAGCATAGGTATGTATGTATCTCTGTATGTATAAGAAAAAGCACAGAATATACAGGGTTTGGAACTATCCACAGTTTCAGGCATCCCCTGAGGGTCTTGGAATGTATCCCTATGGATAAGGGAGGACTACTATGATAGTAATTACTGCTAAGCCTACTAAAATATGGTATATGTGATTTGACTCAGAAAACAGTCAAATATGTAAAATATTTCTATATTCTAAAATTTTAGGTTACAAAAAAATATGTCCTCATCCATATGATTAAGCTGCCAATTAACCCACCTAGTGGATACTTGCCTAAAGTAAATGCACTCTATTTTTCTAACAAATAATCTGAAAAGCAAGTTAATAGAATAACAAAACACTTTATAACATTTTATCTAAGCATGATTTTGTTAAGTACAATCCTGCTAGTCCATATGATGTCTTTGATGAAAAAAGACCCTTTGTTCAGGCAAATGCAGCCCTATGCCAGGGTACACAGTTGGCAAACCATGGGCTAGATTTCAACATCTGCTTTTCCCTTAACCCACTCCCTGCACAATTGTACAAAGTAAGGGCAGCCTTGGGTCCAAATGGATTATTTAATCTACATCCTTGAAAAGAATGTTAGAATAATTACTGGAATAATGATCCTCTAAAAGGTACACAACCAACAGCAACAAAAAACAAGTTCATTTAAAAACTAAAATAAAGTTTTATAGGACTTATTAAAACATTTTAAAAGCATTATAATTACTTGAACAAATAGATAATAATACCAATTGATTCTGTTATCCATGCTGCCTGAGGAAGCAAAACCAAATATATTTTCGCTAACTGCAAATGCTGAGTAGGGTTCAGAGAACCTTATTTGCAGTTCAGATTTCACTACCAATTTATTCTCTAACCCCAAGCAAGTCACTTTTTAGCTTCTATTGATCTCTGCAAAATATCCTAGATCAATGATAGTTCAGAATAGAGTTTGGAAGAGGAAAATAAATTACTTTAAAATTCTCATTAAATCCATAGACCTTCTCCAGAAAAAATTATACTTACACAAAAAATTTTGACTTTAAATTCAGACAAAAAAGAAATTTTAAATGACATTAGCTGCCACAGACTGAATGTTTATGCCCCCCCTCTCAATATTCATATACTGTAACCTAATCCCCATGTGATGGTATTTGGAATCACCTTTGGGAGGTGATTAGGTCATGAAGGTAGTACACTCATGAATGGTTTAATGCCTTTATAAAAGAGGCTCCAGAGATCTCCCTTGCCCTTTCTGCCATGTGAAAACACAGAAAGATAGCCTTCTATAAACCAGGAATTTGGCTCTCGCCAGACACCAAATCTGCTGGTGCCTGATCTTAGACTTCCCAGCCTCCGGAACTGTAAGAAATAAATGTTATTTAAGTCACCCATTCTTTATCATAGAATCCTACTGTGGTCTGAATTTTTGTGTCTCTCCTCCCCTCCCCCGCAAATTCATATGTTGAAATCCAGTGCCCAGTGTGTTGGTATTAGGTTGTGGGGCCTTTGAGAAGTGATTAGGTCATGAGGGCAGAGCCCTTGTGAATGAGATTAATGTCCTTATAAAAGAGGCCTGAGAGAATGCCCTTGACTTTTCTGCCATGTGAGAAAGAATAAGAAGTCTGCAATCCAGAAGAGGGCCCTCACCCCACCATATTGACACTCTGATCCTGACCTTCCAGACCCCAGAACTGTGAGAAATAAATTTCTGGGGTTTTTAAATTTCATTTTATTTTTTTTAAAAGATTTTATTTATTCATTTATTTAGAGAGGGAGAGAGAAGGTGTACACACACATGAAAAGGGAGGGGCAGAAGGAGAGAGGGAATTTCAAGTAGACTCCATGCTGAGCATGGAGCCCCACACAGGGCTCGATCCCACAACCCTGAGATCATGATCTGAGCTGAAATCAAGAGTCAGATGCTCAACCAACTGAGCCACCCAGGCGCCCCAAATTTCTGTTGTTTATAAACTAACCAGTCACTGATATTTTTTAAAAAACACTCTGAATGGACTAAAACACAGTCCAAATGAACTAAAACACTAACTTCTAATATTAATTATATAATGGGATTACAATAATTTGATTAATATACAAAATACTGTTCTATATAAAATAAAATGGTAAATGTGGTAGGCAGAATTCTAATATGGCCAGCATGATCTCCATCCCTGTGGTTATGCTCTGAATATTCCACTCCCTTTGAGTATGGGTGGGACCTGTGATTTGATTCTAGCCAATAGAAGATAACAAAGTGATGAGATGCCACTTACTTTATTAGATTGTAGTATATAGCTAAAGTGACAAGGTATCATTCTCATGATCATGTTACATTATTTAAGGCTCTGTCTTAGCCAAAAAGAGAAATTTTGGGCTGGCCTTGAGGAAGAAGCAAGCTGCTGTGATGTAAACTGCCTGTGGAAAAGGTCCCATGGCCAAATGCCTCAGTCCTAGGAAGGAACTGAAGTTTGACACATCCACTTGAGCTTAGAAGAGTACCCTAACTAATAGAATGGAATAGAGCCTACCTAACACCTTAATTGCCTTTAGTGAGCATAGGACCAAGCTAGGACATAGCTAAGCCTGCTCAGCCTCCTAACCCACTCAAACCGTGAGATGATATAAGTTGTTTTAATAACTGAAAAATTTATGGTAACTTGTTATGCAGAAATAGAAAATTAAGACCATAAAGCTGAATATTTTATATTCAATATCTCAAGTGGTACTCTCATTTTCTTCCCAAATTTACGTTACCTGATTCTTAAAGCATTCAGGTGCATGCTTGTGGGACCCTTAACTCCAGCCACTCACTGAAATGAGTGGTATGATGCTCTGGCTGTTATTTTAAAAAGTTTAACTTGTACCAAAAAGAAAAAAAAGTATTCCAAAGTCAAGATGAAATAAAAGGTTACTTACCTTTCATTGGATCACATAAAAAAGAGTGGGCTCTATAGTTCACAATTACTGAAGGGCTTTTTCTTATTTGATTTTTGTAACTCTTATATCACCTTTTTGAGATAGAGAAGATATTGTTTTACCCATTTTACTGACCAAAAATATAAAGCTCAAGTAGTTTAAAGGGACTTGTCCAGTGTCACAGAACTTAGTAAGACCCTGTTTTAACTCCCAATATGATCTTATTTCCTCCATGATATTACCTGTAGTTGAGTAAACCATGGTAATCTTCATAACCTTGACAATAAACATGCTTGGATTTACCATTTTATTTTCTGAAACTTATTGAGAAAAGTCAACCAACAAGGAAGAAATATCTTAGAAAGAACTTTAATACACACATACAAATATACACACATACACATACACATCCCTATGTTCACATGCATACTAATGTTGTCTACACATATAATTATCAGAGAATATACTAATTAAATTTAGATGCATAGAGAGAGTATGTGTTCTTACCTGGACTTGAAGCAAATCTCCTTTTATTTCTTTGACTAGAGGTTTCTTCCTGTTATTAAAAAGGTTTTTAAATATATCATGATATTTTAAATTGCATGACTGCTTTCTTGAGTAGTACTTAAACCATTTGTAAATAAAATTTCTCAAAAGAAATTCATATTTTTAAGAATCATAATCCATATAAGTGATAAATAATTGAATAACATTTCTCAAGCTAATTTCTCATTGGTATGATTAAAATATGGAAGTGAGATAAGGCAAGGATTTTCAAAGTACATTGATCATTTTTTCCTCTCTGGTCATCTTTTCTTAAGTTTTCATTTAAATTACAGTTAGTTAATATACAGTGTAATATTAGTTTCAGATGTACAATGCAGTGATTCAACACTTCCATACAACACCCAGTGCTCATCACAGTACACTCCTTAATCCCCATCACCTATTTAGCCCACCCCCTTACCTACTTCCCCTCTGGTAACTGTCAGTTTGTTTTCTATAGTCTGTTTCTTGGTTTGCCAACAACACAAGAAACAGTAGGTGTTGGCAAGGATATGGAGAAAGGGGAACACTCTTACATTATTGGTGGGAATGCAAACTGGGCAGCCACTCTGGAAAACAATATGGAGCTTCCTCAAAAAGTTAAAAATAGAACTATCCTACGATTCAGCAATTGCACTACTAGATATTGACCCAAAGAATACAAAAATACTAGTTCAACAAGATATATGCACCCCGATGTTTATAGCAGCATTATCTACAAAGGCCAAATTATGGAAACAGCCCAAGTGTCCATTGACTGATGAATGAATAAAGAAGATGTGATATGTGTATATAGATATACAAGTGCACTTGTGATGAGCAGTGGGATGTTTGGAAGTGTTTAATCACTGTATTGAGGCGCCTGGGTGGCTCAGTTGGTTAAGCGACTGCCTTCGGCTCAGGTCATGATCCTGGAGTCCCTGGATCGAGTCCCACATCGGGCTCCCTGCTCGGCAGGGAGTCTGCTTCTCCCTCTGACCCTCCCCCCTCTCATGTGCTCTCTCTCATTCTCTCTCTCTCAAATAAATAAATAAAATCTTTAAAAAAAAATCACTGTATTGTACACCTGAAACTAATATTGCACTATATATCAAATAACTGGAATTTAACTAAAAACTTAAGAAAAGATGACCAGAGAGGAAAAAATGATCAATGTACTTTGCAAATCCTTGCCTTATCTCACTTCCATATTTTAATCATACCAATGAGAAATCAGCTTGAGAAATGTTATTCCACACACACACACACACACACACACAGGAACACACACTGGAATATTACTCAGACATTAAAAAGAATGAAATCTTGCCATATGCAACGATGTGGATGGAGCTAGAGAATATTATGCTAAGGGAAATAAGTTAGTCAGAGAAAGACAAATACCATATGTGGAATTTAAGAAACAAAACAAATAAGCAAAAGAAAAAAGGAAAGAGAGTGGTCATCTTTTCTGAGACAAAGGTCAAGGCTGTCCATCGAATTTCTTTTCAGAATTTGTAAAACTCTATAAAGATTAAATTCACAGTTTCTTTTAAAAATAATTTTATGTTAGGATTTGACTAAAGCAAATTCAAAATGCAAAAAAATATTTTATATTACTAAAGAAAATATTCACTTAATAAGGCTACTTTACAATAATCCACATGCATAAAAAATAGATAATTGATTTTATAAAATAAGTATAATCAAGTAGAGTAAAAAAAAGAACAGCCCAGACTAAAGAGTTAATGTGCAAATCACAAATCATTAACCAAACCACCAGGGAAACAATGTAAATCCTTTTGTCCCTAAAATGATTTTCAGATTTAATTCTGTTTACTTATTCCTTAATATCTTGTGTTTCATTCTCCACTAACCCCCCTTTAGCTCTTTCTTCTTCCCTTCTCAGTCCTCTCCCACCATCATATCCTGGTCTGCTTATAAAACTATGTATTACATAGTGTTATATCTTTTAGAAACTGTTAAGTTATGCTTATATGACCTCAAATTGTATAAAATGAAAATATAAATTAACAAGGAAAAAATATTAACATGTAGCTTTATGTCTTACTCTTCTGAATCCTCAGGTTTTCCTTTGTCTTTTTTCTTCTCAGTTTTTATAGTTTTCTTTGTCCTATTGTACGTTGACTTTGTTTTCTGTGTAATTTTATATAAGCCAGAAATAGATAGTTAATGAGGTAATAAATTAGACGGAAATAAAAGATAATAAACATTACCAAGATCTCAATTTTACTTTGAGAATCACTATGCTATGTTTCAAGGAAAATTATCTAAACCGAAGCAAAACAAAATTAAGGATACAGTCGGGATGTTTCTTATGGCAATTTACTCTCTATATAAAAAAATTAAGTTCCCCTGGCAAATTGCAATCAATTCTTCTATAATATAACATATGCCTTTCTGAAAATCATCTCACTATGAAAAATCATGCACTAAGAACTTCAGGATATATGAGAGAAATGAGGTAAGGTGCCCAGCATGCAAAAAACACTGTCAATGATACATTTTTTAAAAAATAGAAACCTAATAAAAACAGTTCTGTTTTACACAGTTAAATGATTTAAGAAATACTTAGTATGAGAAATATAGCTAGCTCTTTATCTTGAGAAAGACTTGAAACTTGTTTGTGCAAATGAGCATCGAATAGGTTGCAACTTGTTATTGTGGTTTTGGAAGAAGGCTTATCTAAAATCGGACAAAAAGTTGTAACAGATGTGGACTCGTGTGGTATACTAAAAACATGGTGAACCGAGATAGTGTATAGAGTAAATTTTCTGCTTTCACCTTGTACTTTTTGCAGATGAAATTGTACATAAACATGTAAAATTCATATTTGGTTCAAATTGATTGTGTTCAAATTTGCATTTCAAAGCAAATACAGGAGAACTAACCACATACTTTAAAGTATTTTTGAACTACTGTGTAGTACCAGATTATTTTATATAAGAAATTGAGAAAAAACTTAACAATTAGATTATTTAAATTTTTAGATGGCCTTAATAATAGAGACATATTAAGGCACACATTAGGTGTTTATTTCCTGTTTTATACCAAAACTTCCAATAGACACAAATTCAGTAGTGGCAAAGTTCTCACAAGTTAAACAAAAAGTGTAATAATACCTCATAAAATATGAAAAATAAGTATAATTTTTAATGAGAATTGTTAAGGTCCCCAAATAACTTTCTAGTTTAAATATGAGTTTTGGGATATACTCCCTATATGGAAAAATCTAATATACATTGACAATCAAAAAATACTTTAAAAATGAAAAGGAAAAAGGCTAAAAAATAGTGCTCAAAAAATATGATCAACAGATTATCTGTGAGTTTTGAGAGAACTTAAAGCGACTAATATGCTTATAATCGCAGTACATGATGGAGAGAAGAGGTACAGAAAGAAAATATGTATTTGAAGAAACAATGGCCAAATTTATTTTTTTGGGGTAATTTTTAAAAAAATTTTATTGTTATGTTAATCACCATACATTACATCATTAGTTTTTGATGTAGTGTTCTATGATTCATTGCTTGTGCATAACACCCAGTGCTCCATGCAGAGCATGCCCTCTTTAATACCCATCACCAGGCTAACCCATCCCCCCACCCCCTCCCCTCTAGAACCCTCAGTTTGTTTTTCAGAGTCCATCCTCTCTCATGGTTCATCTCCCCCTCCGATTTCCCCTCCTTCATTCTTCCCCTCCTGCTATGTTCTTCTTTTTTTTTTTTTTTTTAACATATATCGCATTATTTGTTTCACAGGTACAGGTCTGTGATTCAACAGTCTTGCACAATTCACAGCGCTCACCATAGCACATACCCTCCCCAATGTCTATCACCCAGCCACCCCATCCCTCCCACCCCCCCACCACTCCAGCAACCCTCAGTTTGTTTCCTGAGATTAAGAATTCCTCATATCAGTGAGGTCATATGATACATGTCTTTCTCTGATTGACTTATTTCACTCAGTATAATACCTTCCAGTTCCATCCACATCGCTGCAAATGGCAAGATCACATTCCTTTTGATGGCTGCATAATATTCCACTGTATATATGTACCACACCTTCTTTATCCATTCATCTGTCAATGGACATCTTGGCTCTTTCCACAGTTTGGCTATTGTGTACATCACTGCTATAAACATCGGGGTGCACGTACCCCTTCGGATCCCTACATTTGTATCTTTGGGGTAAATACCCAGTAGTGCAATTGCTGGATCATATGGTAGCTCTATTTTCAACTTTTTGAGGAACCTCCATACTGTTTTCCAGAGTGGCTGCACCAGCTTGCATTCCCACCAACAGTATAGCAGGGTTCCCCTTTCTCTGCATCCCCACCAACATCTGTCGTTTCCTGACTTGTTAATTTTAGCCATTCTGACTGGTGTGAGGTGGTATCTCATTGAGGTTTTGATTTGGATTTCCCTGATGCCGAGCAATGTTGAGCACTTTTTCAAGTGTCTGCTGGCCATTTGGATGTCTTCTTTGGAAAAATGTCTGTTCATGTCTTCTGAACAATGGCCAAATTTTATTTTCAAATTTGACAAGAACTTCATAGCCACAAACCCACAATAATAAAAGGAAAACTACCTCCAAGACATATCATAACAAAATTATTAAAAGCAGTGATAAGGATAAAATCTTAAAAGCAGACAGAGGAGGGAAGTAGATTATATACAAGGATAAAATGGACAGCAGACTTCTTTTCAGAGACAAAGGAAAAATACCTTTAAATACTAGAAGAAAAGAAACAGTCAAACCTAGAATTCTTTATTCAGAGAGAACATCTTTCCAAACTGAAGGCAAAAGAAAAAAATTTTTGTCAGAAATCAAAGAGGTGAAAAATACATCAGTTGCTGACCTGAACAAAAAAAAATTATGAAGAATCCTTCAAGCATAAGAAAAATGATACTAGACAGAAAAAAGAAAATATACAAATTAAAGACCAACAGAAATAATAATTAAATGAGTAAATAAATATAAAATATGACTGTTTTTCTTATTATTTAAATCTCTTTAAAAGGTAATAGTTTACAGCTAAACTAATAGCAATGTGTTGTGCAGTTTATATCATAGGTTGTAAAATGTATGAAAATAATAGCACAAAGGCTGGAAAAGGACAAATAAAAGTATATTATCTTAAGGTTCTTAAGTGATTTCATTTTTTTAGGTTTTATTTATTTATTTTAGACAGAGATAGAGAGCGTGTGTAGGGGCAGAGGGAGAGGGAGAGAGAGAGAGAGAGAGAGATCTCAAGCAGACTCTATGCTGACCACAGAGTCCAAGGAGGGGCTCGATTTCACAACCCTGAGATCATGATGGAAGCCAAAATCAAGAGTCGGACACTTAACTGACTGAGCCACGCAGGCGCCCCAGTTCTTAAGTGATTTCATATTACTTGAATATAGACTGCAATAACTTAAAACCAGACTGTAAGCACTTTGCTGTAAAGCAACTAATAAAGCAATCAACTGAGCAGCAAATACAAAAGTAATAAAGATTTTGTTACCTGGAAGTAGGGTGCTATTGTAACATATAACTAAAAATGTAGAAGTGGCTTCAGAATTGGGCAGTAGGCGGAAACTGAAAGAATTTTATGGAGCATGAAAAAAAATATTTAGAAAATTATGAAAAGAAGAAAAATACTTTAACCTGATAAATGATATTGAGAGAGAAAAAGAGGCAGGCACAGGCATGCTGACTGACCACAGAAACAAGTAAACATTCCCTTTAAAATCAGGAACAAATGTGGGCGCCTGGGTGGCTCAGTTGGTTAAGCGACTGCCTTCGGCTCAGGTCATGATCCTGGAGTCCCAGGATCGAGTCCCGCATCGGGCTCCCTGCTCAGCAAGGAGTCTGCTTCTCCCTCTCCCACTCCCCGTTTGTGTTCCCTCTCTCGCTGTGTCTTTCTCTGTCAAATAAATAAATAAAATCTTTAAAAAAAAATAAAAAATAAAATAAAATAAAATAAAATAAAATAAAATAAAATCAGGAACAAATGAAAAATACCCATTCTCATCATGTCTATTCAGTATCATTCTAGAGGTCAGTATCATTCCAGTGCAGCAAGACAAAAAAGAAAAATAGCATTACAAATTGGAAAGCAAGAAAATTTAGGCTATTATTATTCACACATACTTTGACTTTGCAAGTAGGAAATAAAAAGGTAATCATTCTGACAATGTAGGTAGGTTTTGGGATGCAAAATTCAATACACAAAAATTTATTACACTTCTCTAACAACAGTTTAAAAATATCTTTAAAAAGACAGCAATCAAAATAGCATAAAAATATGAAACATTTAAGATTAACAAAATGAATGAGCTTTATGACGAAAATCACAACATTGTAAGCATTAAAAAAACCCTTCAAAATGGAGATATTTTATGTTTATAAAAAAAAATAGGTATATCTTGATAGCCTAGATGTAAATCTCTACAACCTGATGTACAGATTCAATGCAATTATAGAATTTGACACGTTAACCCTAAAATTTATATGTAAGTGCAAAGACCAAAAATTAAATAAATTCTTATAAATAACAAGGTGGGTTGACTTGTCCTACAAAATATCAGGACCTGTTCTAAATCTCTAGTCATTAAGGATCCCAGGCATTAGCATAGAACTAGACAAGACCAATGGAATAGAATAGAAAGCAGAAACAAATCTTCTTTAAGCAGTAGACATTTTCCAGAAACAGCATACCAAAACATACACACCTAGAAGATCCCATTTAGGAAGCTATAATAGAAAGCCATGTGTTAGCAGAAATGAAATAAATAAGGAGACAACAAACTGTAGGCTAAATGTGCCTTGTGGCCTTTTTTGTAAATAATTAAGTTTTATTGCAACATAGCCATGCTTATTCATTTATAACTATTTTCATACCATAGAAGCGACTTAAGTTGCAACATAGGCTGTATGGCCTACAAAACCTAAAATACTTATCTAGCCCATTACAGTAAATGTTTGCTGATATCTGGAATAACAAAATGGTTAATTTAGTAATTAGGGAAACACTATCAAGTTATAGCAGACACAGGATATTTGTGCCCAGTATCCTTTTTACTTTTGTTAAGAAACAGCACCACATTTTAAGGTGGGTTCTGCACCTCCCCCATCTCAAACTGTCCTGG